GAAGAGCGTGTAGCTGAGCTCCGTGTAGAACATCGAGAACGCGCCCTGCACGTACCAGCTGAAACAAGAGTTGAATTACCATAGTTACAGAAGAAAATAATATATAAGAAAAAATCATTTCGTGTTCTTTAAAGTTATTCACGTGCTAATATTTGATTTAGTTGGCATGGTTGTGGCTGCTTGTATCAATTTTCTTATCATGGTTTGTTGTAATTTCTAAAAGTTATCTCAGATATTGTATAATAAAGTTCGTAGATTTATAGTATTCGCTATGAATTCTTCATTACATTAATTAGAGTGAAAATCAATTAAATTTCAGTGTCTTTCAGCAAATGTTTTTTATTCGAAACATCCAGTGCACAGTATATGAAATCTGAACTTGTCACAGTACATGAATATACACAAAAAAATTGGACGTCGAGATAGATTCACGAGAGTTCAGTGAAAATTTCCTAACTTAGAGCTCAGAATGAAATTAATTGTGAAAGCGAACATTTTTGAGCGAACTTATTTTTTTTTCGCAAACTATTGTTTTGCCTGGTCACTTTCTGTATCTAATGAGTCTAATGAGAATATAAATTCACATACCTAATTCTTGAACAAATAACCTTTCGTGCTATTGCTATAATTTATACATTTTAAATTAGATAATGGTTTTCATATGATGTAATATTTTGTTTATTTCTTACATAATATTCATACATTTATGATAATTTCTTTATAATATTTTAATTTCCCGATGGAAATAACGAATAATAACCTGTGGATCACGAGTAATGATGAGAGCATTTGCTTATGGACGCCAGCGTACCGTTATTAAAATTAATTGAGAAACGAGACGTTCTCCCCCAATAGGTTGACATAATTATCTCATATAAACAAATTTCGTATACTCAGTTTGACATTTGATTCATTGAGCTATACATCAAATACTACTGAATATAGTATAATACTAAATTTTTAGTAGTGCTATTGGTATACTATATTAAACACTCCAACACAACTTGAATTAAGCTTTAATATTGACGACAATTGCTAGTAAAATTCACCCGTCGCGATTCAAATCCTTTTGCAGCGGCGAGGTCAGGGAAGAGAACGTGTAGACTGTCTCTTCGCAAGCGGCACCGCATTCGTTGAAGACTGAAATTTATTCATTTAATAAAAATAAATCGATTTAATTTGTTCATTGATTACCAACAATAGCAGGGCTAAAAAATCCAGTTTCATAGGCACGGTAAAATTAATACACACAAAAATAATGCTATCTCTTAACATTGCAAAACGGATCAGATAAATAAAATACAAAAATAATAAATTAATTATTTGCATTGTTCGTGAAAATTCATGTCGGAATGATGGCAAGTCAAATTACTGATTTTTAGTAATAAAATATGTAGTGTTTCTGTTTTATTGTTGTGCCGGCAATATAATTAAAAAAATATAACTCAGTACTCACTGCAGTGAGTGACAGAGAGCGCATTTTCTCGTCGACGAAAACGTGAGGTCATGGACGGACGGACAGACAGACGGACGGACAGACAGACAGACGGACATGGCGAGCACAATAGTGCATTTTTTCCATAAATGAGAAAATGCGCTAAAAAGCATCAATTCATCATTTCATAGAATTTATTTATATTCTATAATTTATGCATCCGAAGATTTTGAAATTACAGTCTTCTTTATATTCAACTCACAGTATGCGCACTACAGAAATAAATTACCGTTGAATCATCAAGTCTGTTACTTGCCTGCTTTTATATTGTATATAATAATATTGCCTTCATTTAAATACTTACTCTATTGTCATTTTTATCGTTCCGTCTTTGTTATTAAGATCATGAATTATTAATTTATTTCCTAAATTGAGGTTTTTATATTTTGCTCATGAACTTATTAATTTCAATTCATTCTACAATTTTTGTTAATATTTCATTGAATATTGTTTTTATTAGTAATCCATTGATATCTTTAAATTTTTTATTCTTATGATTCTAATTTTACAATGATGATAATGATTATTACATCAATATCAAAGATTGTGATAATAGTTATTGCTAATATAAGCGTATTTAGAAGGCTAAGATTATTTCATATATTGCCAACACCTCTCATATACGTATGACAACCTTAACGCCTATCGTATCGACCAATACTATAAAAATCGGCAAATGGTAATAGTTTGCACTGTGCTCATTTACATATAAATCGTTTTTTAACTCAGCTTACAGTACTCTTGGCAGTCCTGCGACGTGTTTACGTCGGTCTTCATCAAGTAGACGAGATCATCGATGTCACAGAATCGATCGCCCTCTGCCAAAAATTCCTTCATACAGAATAGTCATGTTGTTCAAAGATATAAATGACGCGTGAAATACAGGAGCATCATGCATTAGTACGAGCGTTTACTATTTACAAAAAAAAAATCCATGTATCTAGCCAAGTTTCTCACAGTTCCGGAAAGGGTATGTAACAAGCTTGTGGTTCCTAAGCTTTTTAAAATGTGCTAAGTTAAATTTACAATGTATCCGTGAATTTGAACGATGAATTCCCTAGTAATTACTTAATAGTTTAGTTTTTCACCTTTCCACAAAGGATAGACAACAAGTACAGAGTTTCTGGGCTTCTGGTGGTATCTTTAACTATCCATAGATAATTTCAAAGTACCTTCAAAATCTTCTAATTTAAAAGTAATCCTCAAAACCTGCTTAGTGTTCGTGTTGATCGCCACTGTGCGCAGCCGTTTAGCCGGTTATCGTTCGGCTGCCTCCGTTCGCTGAATAACAAGGTTGACGAGTTTCTTCACATTTGTCGCTCGCACTCACTAGATGTCGTCTTCCTGACCGAGACCTGGCACGACGCTGGCTCGGTTTGCCTCGACCGTCTTCGCGCTGAAGGACTCAAAGTAGTCGAGTGGGGGCATGCAACTTGCCGTTCTTGGCAACGGCGTCCGACCCACCACTTTTGAGTTGCTATGTGCTAGGGTCAGCTGTGCCTTGTTTACGGGCGTTTCAGTCATTCATCTATCGTAGTGGATCGGTTGCAGTGGTGCGTAAAGTTTTCGTCGAATTGAGCGATGTCTTCACCAGACTTTCCCCGATCATGTCCTTATCACCGGCGATTTGAACGTTCAACTGGATCGCTTCGAAGACACATTGACTCGTCAGCTGAACGACCTTCCGGCCACTTTTGGTATGGTTTGTCACGTGACCTTGGCGACGCACGGCATGGGCACACTGCTGGATGTTGTCATCACGCGTGCTGACCCTCAAAGTTTGCCAGGCGACATCATCGAGATCGCAATATCCAACCATCGACTACTTCAGTGGACGATGCCATGCGTGCACCCTGTTCCAGCGTACAAACCGGTTACCTGTCGTCCGTGGCTCGGTCCGATGGCGATGTCTTACGCGAAAAGCTGGAAAAGCTGCAGTCGTCCCGACTACGTCGGCCTGACTCATGTTTGGCACTAACAGTCAACCACCTCGTCTAAGGCTACATCACTGAGCTGACCTGTGCACTCGATGACCTCATTCCTACAGTACATGCACAGTTCGGGTATCCCAACGAGTCTCCGACCCCTGGTTCGGCGATGAATGCTGAGTCTCGAAGAGAGGAATTCGACTGCTCCTGAGCTATCGACCGAGCGAAATGACGCGGCAATTCTGCTGCTGCCGATACTGTTGCATCCACCTGGCGAGATGAGCGGCGCAGTTATGTCGACCTTCTTCGTTCTAAATGAGAGTCATTTTGGCGCCCAAGAGTCGACGCGCGATCCTCGAGCGCTGTGGCGTTCGCTAGATAAACTCATGGGAAGAGGTCATACAGAGGCTTCGGACGACGTAAGCATGGAGGAATTCCATGCGGTTTTTGAAAACAAAACTTCTGCCGTGCGAGCGTCGTCGACCGATGCTCCGCCGGCAGCATTTGCCCCGTGCCCGTTCGGCTGCGTAGCTCCAAGAATTCACTCGCGTCGCAGCTGATGATGTCATTGCTGTGTGCGCGCGCTGCCTAACAAGCAATGTGCCAGCGATCCGCTACAGACTTCGTTACTTAAGGGTAATGTTGTAACCCTAGCACATTATCTGGTCGAACTGTTCAACCGTTGCCTCACTGATGGTGTTGTTCCGATGAACTTCAGATCAGCTTATATTACGCCTATATTAAAATAACCAGACCTTCACGCTTCCGATCATAAATCATATCGACCCATCTCCAACCTGTCAATTTTGTCGAAACTCCTGGAACGCGTTGTGGGCCGACAGCTGAACAGCCATCTTCAGCAGTCCGGTCTGATGCCTGGCCTCCAGTCTGCATACCGTCATCTCCACTCGACGGAAGCTGCAGTGCCGAAGGTGCTTTCAGACATTCTGCGAGTAGAAGACCGCGGCGACATTGCGGCACTAGCTTTAGTCGACCTGTCGGTCAAGTTTGACACGCGGTCGCACACGCCACCATATTGCGTCGAATTGACGTGTCATCCGGCCTGCGCAGCACAGTGCTGCTGTGGTTCGAGTCCTATCTCAGCAATAGATCCCAATGCGTTCGACTAATGAACTTTTCTTCTACGCCATCGTTGGTCACTTGCGGCGTACCACAGGGATTAGTTCTCAGCCCGATCCTCTTCCTGTTACATACTGTCGGCGTGCATATAAACGATTCACATTTTTTGAATCCGCATATGTTCGCCGACGATACCCAAATTTATGACTTATGTGCACCGGCTGACGCCGTAGCTTTGCAGCATCGAAAGTCTGTCTGCATGGATGCCGTCTCCGACTGGATGCGCTCCAACCAGCTCCAGCTCAATATGCAGCAAAACTGACTTTATTCGATTTGCTACTACTCGGCGCCAGCATCGACTTCCGGCCAACCCTATTCGCGTTGGCAACGTGCTCGTCATGCTTGCGTCTGCAGTTCATAACCTGGGTATTCTGTATGACTCGAAACTTTCTATAAACAATTAGATTGCCAAAGTCACCACCGCTTGCTTTGGCGCTCTACGACGAGTACTTATCATCAGCCGCTGTCGTTCGAGGCCGGTCCTCGAGGCCCTCGTGGTGGCACTCGTTCTGACCAGATTGGACTATGGTAATGCCACACTTTATGGACTTCCACCCATGGCACTTAATAAAATGCAATCCGTAATGAACGCTGCTGCTCGATTTGGGTGCAATGAGCAAATATTTGACCATGTCACCACGATATTGCTCGATCTTCACTGGCTACGCATTCAGCATCGCACGCAGTTCAAGGTCGCTGTTCTGATGTTCCGATGCCTTACCGGTCTGGCGCCTCCTTTTCTCACGGAATGTCTGCAGCGCGTGTCGTATCTGCCTTCTAGGAGACGATTGCGTTCGGCGTCAACAGCGGATCTCGTCATACCATCTACACGCCTTTCTACGGTCGGTGACAGAGCGTTCACGATCGCCTCCACCAGAACCTGGAACAATCTGCTGACTTCCGTAACATTGGCTCCTTCGTTGCAGGTGTTTCGTCGACTTTCGTCGACGCCTGAAAACAGAACTATTTCGTAGAGCCTATGAATCTATTGCTTAGTCATTTTATCCGTTCCCATCCTTTCTTGTGTCTATTTGTTTTTCGCTTGCTATTAACCTTATGCGTGACGTGCCCTCAAGTTCATTTGAACCACACGCCACGAGAAATTCTTCGTAGAATAACATTAATAATAATAATAATACCATGTCTGGTCTCTCACCGTTCCAGAAAATGTAGGTGACCAGCACACAGTTCCTGAGCTTCTTGTGGTATTTTTTACTATCAAAAGATAATTTCAAAGTACCTTGTTTAGTCTCTCACCATTCAAGAAGGGATAGGTGTTCAGCACGCAGTTCCTGAGCTTCTTCTGGTATTTTTAACTATCCATAGATAATTTCCAAGTACCCTAACTAGTCTCTCGCCGTTCCAGAAGGGGTAGGTGACCAGCACGCAGTTCCTGAGCTTCTTGTGGTATTTTTACCTATCCATAGATAATTTCCAAGTACCTTGTCTAGTCTCTCACCGTACCAGAAGGGGGAGGTGACCAGCACACAGTTCCTGAGCTTCTTGTGGTATTTTTAACTATCCATAGATAATTTCCAAGTACCTTGTCTAGTCTCTCACCGTTCCAGAAGGGGTAGGTGACCTTTCTGACCAACGACGGCGCGCTCTTCGTACGGCGCGTGGCTGGGGGTGCACGACAGCGAGCTGTCCCACCACGGCACGATGCTCTGATGCAGGCCCGTGTTGTCATGCTAGCGATGAAATAGTTCGATCAAGTATCTGGATATTTTGCTTGAATATCTCAGACTGTTAATTCCATTCAATAATAAATCAAGATACCTGGGCTTACTAACTGGGATAAAGAATCATTTATTTTATAAAACATGTAATTCAAAGTAAAGTAAACTGTTCGCGGATCATTACTTTTTCATCAATTATGTTAATTCGACTAAACTAATGCACGATAATATGCGTTTGTTTAACCTAAAATTAGGTGAAATTAACCTAAATTCCAAAATATGTCTTAATTTAAATAACTGAAACGAACTAAAATCGAATTGGCTCACTTTGATGTAAGTAACGGCCACCATGGTTCGCTCTCCAGACGCCACAGGCACCAGAGAGGACACTTCTGAGTCATAACCTTTGTCGTCAGACAGAATGTGGATCCGCAGTCCACCGTGTAGCACCGTAGCTCGGTTGTTCATGTAATCCCAGTCAAGAGCTGGAATTATTAATTTCCTTTATTAATTAATAATGATTTCAAACATTAATTTTTTTTACTATCCAAATATTAGTACGAAAATATGAAGATCAGTTGAGGAGAGATCTAAAGTAATTGCAAACTGCTGCTGAAATATTTCGATCCAAAAGCTTTCGGGTTTTTCTTTAGCATTCTCAATCTTCTTTGTCTCAAGCCGAAAATAAATATTATTAGTTTCCTAAAACTGGAATACAACCGCTCAAGAAAGTGAACGATTTTCCGTGTCCTTCGTTCGCAATATAGGGGAACAATGAATACAAGTTAGAATCCCTTCATGCATTATTCATGCATCTTGCTTTATGCTTTTTGCTTCTTATACAATTTTTCAATTTATTTCAGCGAATGAGATTTAGAGGATTCATTTTGTTACGAAAGAAATTTCGATGATACTTTAATTTTATGAAAAGAAGTTGTGCGGTAGAAAATTCAGGGTGGAATGTTAGGAACATTTTTAATTGATTATATGTACGAGTCTAGGTAATGTTATTCGGCATATAATAATTCATTTATTGCTTTATTTATGTCGGAATTTGAATGATATCAGGTATTTATTAATAGAAAACGCATTGTGACATTAATTCACGTTTTAAATACCAAGCTTGAACCCAGAATAGGATAAATGTTCTTCAGTTATCGTCTATTTATAATCAGCAGTTTATTCGTCTCTGCCAGGGATCAATAATCAAGCTAATTTCAGCATGCATAATTCCAAACCCATATATAATTGAGCTCATGTGGATGAGAAAGTCCCGTTTAAACATACATTTCATCCAGGACATTGAACTTATATTTATTGAGTTATTATTATTATTGACTTGGGTATAAAAAATTGCAAAGTCATTTGGGTCTTAGAGTAAATTTATTTATACTGGAAATTTAAAAATCTTGGCGCAGTGAACGTTTCTTCTTTCGTTTAGCATCGATAATTTTCATTGTGAGAGCGGGACTTGGAATATTGGGATTATAGAACTGCCTGCGCCATAACCCCGTTGCGACTCGAATTTACTTGTCTCTTTCTGTCCTACAAGCATGAATAAAATTTCAGGTTCAGGTAAAATCATGGCAAGAAAATTATCCTGGACAAGCGCTCGAATAGCCGCTGTGTAAATTTAAATATTCGCTCATTTCACAAGTCTTTTAACGCACATACAAATACATTCGAAAACACACTTTTGACAAATATATATACGTTACTGCATTGCAAGAACTTTTTCTACAGTATGATAACCTTGCCGACACTATATAACCTTCGATTTTTAAACGCTCAAAAATATATTTATAGAATTACACTAATCATTCTGACAAATTTAAATACATTTCTCTCAATCCAAGGACACGTGTGTAGCGCGTTCTCCACAAATGTTCTTAATATTGTTCAAATTGGTTCGTATGCACTTTGAGGTTAATGCACTTCGTCTGGGTCCATGTCTCAATGTCGTTCTTAGTTCTTAGATAGGAGGTTTTATTTGCAGACTATAATTCCCTCAGTTACTCGGCCTCATTTTTTTTCTCCGATATATGCATAAGAACTAGCGCATTGTCTCAATCAAGGTCCGTCGTGTCTTTGTCAAGGGAATGTTCATTAGGAGGACATACGAAAAAACTAATTGTTGTGTTGCGCGACAACAAAGCAAATAAAGCGTTTTATAAGGCACTTTTTCCATGGATGTCAGTCCGTTGAGATCTTAAACGATGAATTTTAATTGTGATATCGTTAAGAAAAGTCAGGAACACGTATGGGAAAAGTAAGTCCCAGAAGTTAACTGAGACCTAAAATTGAAGTGGAAATATGAGACAACCGGTTATAGGTAAATGACCAAGCCGTTACTTTGATTACTCTATGTGAATAAGAAATGTTTTTTTTTTCAGTGGACATCTGACCTAAATGCGTAGTGCTTCTATTATTGAATTTAACTTAAATTCAAATATTTTAAATGATAGTTCATTTCTTTGCGAAAAATTTCATGATGATGGAAAAGTGTGTACCATTGATTAGCTGGTGAATATTACAATTTTAAAATTTAAATATTGCAATTTTAATATTTAAAAATTATAATTTTAAAATTTAAATAATATAATTATAAAATTTCAATATTATGATCTCAGAAATTTACTTCACGTAATACTTTCACGCGGATGTCAACAAATACCCAAGAAATTAAGGATTCTACCTCGAATTTTGGCTATAATTAAATATTCTCTGGTCTTTTTGATGGAAAATCATCGCGTGTTACCCAAGTATCTTCGAACTTTTTATTGATTGTGATTCAGATATTTAAAACTTCTCAAGGGCTCACGCTCATCAAAACTAAACACTGTAGAAACATACTTTAATTCCCGGATTGAAATGAGAATTGCTTTCAAAATTAGTGCTACTTTTTTAGCGTGAGCTTTCATGTAATTGGAACAATGATGGGACCTCCGCAGATAACATTTTATTTAATTGTAAAGTTGAATTCATTATCATCGAGGTACGTGCTATGTTACACTATTTACTTATTATTTAAATCTAATTTTTTTCACTAGGCCACGTGCTGTTATATAATCTTTGTTTATTTAAAGCTGAATTTATTTTTCACTAAGCCACTTGCTATTTAATACTATTTCTGCTCATATATTCATCAAACTGTGTATTTTCAGCCGTAACACTAGCTTTAAGATGTTAACTATAGCATAATCAAATAGATTAGTAAAACGAACATTTAACTTTGAATGGAGTTCGATATTTGGTCTAAGTGAGTCTTTTCGAGATTTGACACCTTTATAACACCTTTATATAAAATGTGACACCTTTATACGCTTAAACTAAACCCAAAATTGTTCTCAGTAATTTAGAAATGGATTATAGGGCAACAGCGAGGTCTCCTGATAAATAATTGCGCCAATCACAGGGATTTTGAAACATTTAAATGATCCCCAACCGTGAACAACGGATAAAAATATTGAAAACTCACAAAGCTGTTGCAAAGGAACTCGAAAGTTCATGCCAATCCCAGCTGACACCGCCTCTCTGTTCTGCAGAATCTTCCTCGATATCTCAAAGGTTAGCCTGCAAGTGAAACAAAACGATTTTAAAGAAAGTCTAAACCATTTAATTATCTTTTCTACCGGAAGACGCGTAATAAGGCATGATAAAATTTTCTCCAAAGTGGATATTGAATTAAAAAATATAACTCAGCACTCACTGCAGTGAGTGACAGAGAGCGTATTTTCTCGTCGACGAAAACGCGAAGTCACGGACAGACGGACATGGCGATCACAATAGTGCATTTTTTCCATAAATGAGAAAATGCGCTAAAAAGTGAATAAATTTATTCAGTAATCGATTGGAGCTGTTGCATGGATTAATCTCTTTATTTTATGTTCAACAAACTCGCCATAAATTCCAATGAATACGGCCGAGAACTTGCCATAAATTTCGATAAATAGTTCAGTTAACTCGTCCTGAAATCCGATAATCACATCTGTGAACTTATCTTAAATCCCAATTAACATCTCCGTTAACTCACCCTAAGCTTCTGTTAAACATGTCATTGAACTCATGTTAATGTTCCGACATAAACGTCAATAAGCTTATCGCAACGTTCAGAAAATATGTCAATGAACGTGCCCTAATGTTCCCGATAAATATATCCCTGAACTCATTCCAATGTTCCGAGAAACATGTTAAAGAACTTACCCCAATGTACCGAGCACAGTAGAGAAGTGTTTCCCGCAGCACTCATGGCCCGTATAGAACTCGTGTTCAAACACGCAGTCTATGATAAGGTCCTCACATCTGCACTCAAAATAGCAATTGAGTGCGTTAATTTTTTTAATTGCCTTTAATATTTAGACTCATTATTTTGCTCTCGTACTCGACGAGTTAGCTACCTATAACTTTACCCTAAGGCAAATATTTTGCCTTTGTGTCCTAAAAATCTTGCTGCAAACTTGAGAAATACAGACTGCTTCCAAAATCACGCAATCATGAAATATGACCATATTTACAGCAGATTAATTACAATGAAATTCCAGAACAAAACATTACCAATCTCTGAGTGCCTTAAAATTTATGATTTAAAAGATTTACTTGTATGCGAGCTTCCACCAAATGTTTCTAGCCGTGGTGTTGAGGCGCTTGAGGAGCTCGTGATAGTCACGGTTGGCAGCTTCGACATTATTCAGCAGAGTGTCAGTGAAGGCGACCTTGCCAAGCATCACCGTTGAAACTAGCGAGGCTTCGTACAGGGAGACGTTGAATTCTGCGGAATTGTCACAACTTTTTGCACGTTCTTTGATTAAGGACCTTGTTTTTTAATGTTTCCTTGTTCTTGTTTTTTTTTTCCTTAAAGGGGATTTAACTTCTTGGGGTTTACTTTTGGGTTTTTATTTTCGGGGGCTTTTTTTTTTTTTTTCTTTTTTGTTGAATTGGCGTTTTGCGTTAGTTGGCCCGGTTTTTTTCCTTTTTTTTTCTTGGATTTTGTTTTTTTGAATTCTTTATTTTTATTGTTTTTTGGAGGGTTTAAAATATAATCTATTTACTGACCTTCTAGAGCGCTGTAGTTGAAGAAGCCCGCGTTGCTGATCATGAAGCGTGGTAAGTAGAGACCGTTCCTTGAATCTTTGATTACTCTCACCTGGAAGATAACTAATTAAGTGGCGAGCATTTTTTGTGTGATCCATACATCTTCAAAAATAAAACAATTCTACTTCAGCTAGCATTATGGATTAAATTCTTACACGTGCGATTGTGATTCATAAATTAAGCATCAAGCTACAGATTTTTTGTCTAAATAAAAAATAAGTAGAAGTTGAAAAAATTGAAGTTGAAAATTAGTTGAAAAAGTTGGAAAATAAGTTGAACGATTTCATATTTTTTCAGGTAATATTTTTCATTTCTCATCATCTTTGATGAACGAAGTGTTCGTGCGTTTTTTAAATACTATAAAAAAACTACTATAATAAATGAAGCGACAAAACCCAACATAGGAGCTCAGATATCAACTCAGATATTACTTCCTTACCACTCACAACTTCCAGATAGAAGATAGAATTTTTAGCTTTGACTTACCTCACTTCGGCTACCGAATTCAGTCATTTATCATATTAAGATTACCACTTAAACTCACATCACTATCGTAGTACGTCGGATGCATCATATTCCGAATCTGAGTGAAGCCGAGAAAGAGGCCAATGACCGAAAAAGCCACCGCAAGCACGATCAAAGCGCAGGACATTTTGCGGCTGAAATGCCACACTCTATTCGAGTGCCGGTAACCATGCGCCGACGTGAACCTAGTGAACGATGTCACAAGAGCCCAGGGAATATCCAAGTTCTCGGTTGGAATTTGAACTTCTTGCGGCATCTGTAACAATTTTTACAGAAGAAGTGCAATCTTTGAATTGTTTTTGCAAAGCAAAAAAAAGCAAAATTAATTGTTGGTTCAGCATTCGTATGAATAACAGTAACTTGTCGACGCTAAAATCAAAATGGGAAATCCAATCTAAAATATCATGAATTAAAATCTGACTTTGACTCCCGTTCCAATTACAGTCTAAATTAGCATTCAATAACTTTTATTTAAGAATCTAGATGCTGCTAATGAAAATTTTGTGAGGATTTTAAAATTTTATTATCGAGTCATGTGTAAATCATGAAGCGATAAGACAAGTATTTTTAGGAATATTGGTTACATTTATTCAATTTCATTAAAATAATTCAACTGGAATTATCTCACTCGATTATATCAACCCGCATTTATTTCGACTATATATCATCAATTGTAGATATAAATGAATGCTTTTACTTACCACTTTTTCACGGTCCTGTTCAAAAAATGTTCCCCCAATTGAGTCATGTTTAATATTCGATTCTGGAAGCCATGGGCTGATATTGATGATGTTCTTTTTATTCAACATTATTTCGGAGAAAATCGTATTTCTTCATATGTAATTGTTGATAAGTCATGGAGAAAAACCTTGAAACGATTTTAATTTGAGTTCGCTAAAAAAATTATATAAAACAGGATTGTCGAGATCGTTAGCTTATAATTGTTGAGAAAACTGCGCTTATTAACCGATGTTTCAGGCCGTCAGCTTCTCACAGTAAAACAAATACGATAAATCCTATACCAGTTGATGATAGGACATAGGGCTATGACTAGAATACTCTGTCAACTGCTTGCTAATAATAATATAGTTTCTAGGCTGTTTTTGCTAACTGATAAATAACCTTGAAGTTCAATATGATCTAAATTCCCCACCAAGCACAGTCTTCAATGCTTTTCTCAAGGCTGCGCTAGATCTTATGAGGTTGTAAAGTCTCGAGCTGAGACTATGAGTCAGTTTTTTTATAAGTTCTAATGATGTCTTTGTTTGTGTGGTCCAAGTCAAATCAGACATCGATTGATATCACAAAGAAGAAATTATTTTACTTCGTTTGGATGCAACAGTAGTGACCCGAATATGTAGATGTTATGCCGGTTGAACTAAAACTCTATCGGCCATCGTAAGAGGTGCTAGTTATAAAAGATTTTTACGCTTTCTTCGTAAATTATGTTTGCAAATCCGCAACATAATCATGTGGGCACCACCCTATTTAAAAGTTAGCTGAGTCACTGATATATTATTGTGAGTGTGACAAATGAATTCACTCCTTTGGACCGTTAAGTACACACGGATTTGCTCTGACGGAAGACATTACAAACAGCGATCGTTGCTGCGTAAAAGGGAGAACAACGGGTGATATAAAGCAAGTGAGTTGCGGGATGAATGAATTTTTGATGCTATGGTCGGTAGGATGTAAGTGAAACCTATTTGCCCAGCTTGGGTGACGACTTCCTATATTTTATGGCCCCCCCCAACAGGACGAATAGTATGAACGCTAAAGGATCTCTTGCTGGGAGAAAATTCACTGTTGATCAACCATACGCTAATTATAATGCTCCTATCCGATGAATATTTGAATAGCTCATTACATTTCTTTCCACCCTATCTTACGATGGAAATATTTTTGCCTTAATCTTTGCTCAAGGCAAATTTTATTGATAGTATTGTATTCACTTCCAATTCAATCGCAGTAAGTTAGGCTGTATTTTGTTTAACTTTTGGTATGTGATTATTGCTTCATAAGCTTACAGTTTCAATTATATTATTTACAAGCTGGTCAAGGAACTGATATTATTATGGGTTGCTTTTTAAGCAACTGATAAATAATGGGCTGCTTTTTAAGCAACTGATATTTTTATGGGTTGCTTTTTAAGAAACTGATATAATAATGGGCTGCTTTTTAAGCAACCCGATATTATAATGGGTCGCTTTTTATTTCTATTAAGAGCATGAAAAGATTGCAGTGGCCGTGAGGTTCAACGTGCAAAATAAGCATTTTGTTGGCCAGCCAACATCATCAATATTCTCTGCTATTCTCATAAATAAAACCTCGTGAGCGCCTTAATTAAGCTGAACTATAACTTTTTAACGGGATTTTGAAATGATGAAATCGTGCATAAATAGAATAATAATAGTAAATACAAAATAATGCAAGACACTTACACGTATGTTTCAATAGACCAAACTTTTTCAACTTCGGATTCCCACACCACATTCGAGCTCATTAGATTCTACCACAATTAGATCATCATAAAAAGTTCCACATTTGTATACTTGAAAACAAGGGAATTGCTTTGGACTACAGGTTTTATATTTCGGAATTGAGTTATATTTGAAATTACAAAAATTGTTTTCTGAAATTGTTTACTAACAGACCAAATATACAAAAATTGTCAACGAAACACACAAAAAATGAACATCTCGAAACTGCATAATGTACTCACAAATAAAATGAATTGAAATAATCAACAATTGCACACCGTTCATCAGCAAGATCGCAACAACACATCAATGAAAAACACCCGACATTTCACGTGACAATAAAATAGCATCCAACATTGTTAAAAACCGAAAATGAAAAAAGAAATCATATATTTAAAACCTCTGACATGACAACTTATTCGGTATAGGATGCACATTTCACGGTATGTACAGATATAAATCATTACTAGTGGTGATGATCTAATGATATAAATCATTACTATATACTAATACTAAAAACAATACTTTATATTTATTCATGTAAATGTTGCAATAAAGCTATCAGTAACAAAGTGAAGAACCGATATAATTTATAAATTATCGCCAATCTTTAGCCGATAAAATTTTATACTGGAATAAGCTAACTGACGCTAAAATCAATTTTGTTTCTGGGTGAGACTAATGTTTTACCATTTTATCGTTAATCATTAAACTTATAATTAAAAGAAATTAAATTAACATCCATTCTTCATTTCTAGCAGGTACTACCAATTCAGCATCTCACCGTAGCTTGTAATTTTTGGTTTAGATTTCTTCCTTCTATAAGGAGGAGACTCAAAACTTGATTCTAGAAACTAAAACTGTTATCTCATATATGAACCTATGAATAGGTTATACGTTAAAACGATCTTAACTCAATAATTTTACGTCCTGTAGAAAATTTTGTTTGACTATATTATGTGATTATAGTATGGCTGGATTGCGATACCATAATCACATACTATAAGCATATTGTTGTTGTCAGTCACAGCTCTCACGAACATATATGAAGAAAGTTAATGAGAATAGTGATCGTATGACCTGAGGATGAGTTTGGTTAAAGGCGTATTTAATAGAGATTACAAGGGGTAATGAGGCTGAGATTTCAGATTAAGAGATAAACCTCTACCTTTTATAGATATACGTCTGAGATATAAACTTATTTGCTTAAATCGCAAGTTGACTAAGAATTTAAAAGCAAAGAATAGTCCACAAAAATTCATATCTTTATAAATTCAGCTGTGAGCTCCTATCCCCTTGAAATTGTGAATAGATAGGTTTTAATGCCTATTACTTGTAAATTTAGGTTCTAATTGTGTTCTGTGCTTCCAATTGTATTAACATGTAACTTTCTATGTATATTCTAGATTCTAAGAACTGACGATGGAACTGGACTCCGAAAGGTTTTCTATAAAG